CTCCCCCTCCAAAAGTGATCAAATAACCGGAAGTGGATCTTGAATTATCAAGATTCCCTCCTAAATCAGAGTCTGTGTAACAAACAAGTTCAGGCTTGCCATTGCCAAAGCACAACTTCAAATTTGCAGTACCTTTCAAATACCTTAATATCCATTTTACTACATCCCAATGTTCTTTTCCAGGATTAGAAAGGAATCTACTAACAGTACCAACGGCATGTGCAATATCTGGTCTAGTACAAACCATAGCATACATCAATCTACCAATGGCAGAAGAGTAAGGAATACGAGACATCTCCTTTTTCTCTTCATCAGTAGATGGACTCTGACTAATACTCAATTTGAAGTGTTTAGCAAGAGGAGTACTAACCACTTTTGCATCTGTCATATTGAACCTCTTGAGTACCTTCTCAATGTATTGCTTTTGGGACAGAAATAACTCCTTTATATCTCTGTGTCGGTGGATCTGAATGCCCAAGATTTTCTTTGTTTGGCCCAAGTCCTTCATCGCAAACAATTTGCTCAACTGCTTTTTAAGGACTGCAATTCTGGATTTATTATTGCCAACTATAAGCATGTCATCCACATAAAGCAATAAAATAATAAAAATCATCATCAGAGAACTTCTAGAAGAATACACAGTGGTCTGGAGAAGTTTTCTTGCACCCTTGTTCTTCTATGACAGATTCAAACTTCAAATATCATTGCCTTGGAGCTTGTTTCAATCCATACAAGCTCTTTTTCAATTTGCAGACATAATTTTCTTTTTTCTTAGTTACAAAACCCTCAGGTTACTCCATATAAATCTCCTCATCTAAATCACTATGAAGAAAAGCAGTCTTGACATCCATCTGCTCAACCTCTAAATCTAGACTTGCAGCTAAGCCTAGAACCACACGAATAGAAGACATCTTCACAATAGGGGAGAAAATTTCATCAAAGTCAACTCTCTTCTTCTGGCCAAAACCTTTAACAACTAACATCGCCTTGTATCTAGGCGAAGAGGTATGGTTATCTTGCTTTATTCTGAAGATCCATTTGTTAGATAAAGCTCTCTTACCTTTCGGCAATTTAACTAACTCATATGTTTCATTCTCATGGAGTGACTTCATCTCATCTTCCATCGCTTCGATCCACTGATCTTTGTGAGTATCTTGCATGGCTTTATCATAATTCTCAGGTTCTCTCATGTTAGTCAAAAGTACATACTCATCAAGAGGATAGCGCATGGATTTTTGCTTCTTCCTTATAGATCTTCTAAGAGAGGTTTCAGGAGCATTCGAAGTAGTTACCTATGCAGGAATTGGTTGCTCATCAACCACAACTTCATTAACTGGAGCATCCATAACATCTATACCATGATGATCATTTTGATCTTGATCACTATCTCCATCATTGTCTTGGGTTCCTTCATGTGCAATAGGTGCCTTAGCAATTGAAACTGGATCAATATCAACTAAGCTCTCATTACTCTGAGAATCTATCTTCTCAGCTTTGTTAATATCTTCAATAGTTTGGTCTTCAAAGAATATTGCATCACGACTTCTAATAATTTTATTGTCAACTGGATCATAAAAATGATACCCAAATTCATCTTGACCATAACCGATAAAGATGCACTACTTAGTTTTGACATCCAGTTTTGATCTCTCATCTTTAGGAACATGCACACAAGCTTTACACTCAAAAACTCTCAGGTGATTATAAGAAATATCTTTGGCAAACCAAACTCTGTCTGGGACATCACCATCCAAAGCAACTGCAGGAGACAAATTGATAACGTAGGCAATAGTGGTATCAGAGCCTTGGGTATTTATCCGAGTTGTTACAGAATGGAGGCGAATATGAGCAAGATAGTATGTTTAAATGGGAGAAATTATAATGTTTGGAGAAGCAAGATAAAAGACTTGGTGTTCGTGAAGAAGATGCATCTACCCGTTTTTCAGCTCATAAACCCGAGAGTATATCCGATGAAGATTGGGATTTCGAGCACCAACAAGTATGTGAATATATACGACAATAGGTTGAAGATAATGTTCGCAATCATATTGTGAACGAGATACATGCGAGATCATTGTGGGAAAAGCTAGAGACTCTTTATGCTTCAAGAGAAAGCATAAAGAGTCTTTGAAAGCACCACTCATAATCTATAAATAGGACAACCTTGGAGAATTATTCTATACTCATTGATACAAGTCTTTGAAAGACTTAAGCACATAAGAGTGGTTTTTAGAGAGCTTTTGTCAAGAGAGAAGAGAGAAGAAAAATATTTGTTTTGCTGCAGATTTTTATTCCAACCAGTCAACATTCAAATTACGTTTTTCAATTCGTTAACCGTTGGATCGGGCTGAAAATTTGACTGAATGTTCATAACATCTTGGTCTTAGATTTGAATGGTGAAGATCGGATTTAGAGGCTCATAAAATCTGATTTCGAGTCTCGAACAGCAGCTTCATTTTTGTGGATTCTCCTCTTTCTTCAATTGATTAGTTGTTGCTCTTGTTACAGTTGTTGCTCCGTGTTTGGCACTTGTTGTGTATCCAATTTGGAGAACTTTTGTAACCCTCTTATTGTTATAGTGGAGCTTTTTGGATCTTTGTGATCCCGTGGTTTTTACCTTCGATTTGAAGGGTTTTCCACATTAAAATTTGGTGATTTTTGGGTTTGCCTCTTCCTCGTCGTAACAAGATATTTTGCATCACCTAAACAGGATCCTCTTGACCTCTTTAAACATTCGTTCTTGCTCAAATGTAATTAATATGGAGGTTCTTTTGTTTCTTCTTTTGGTTGGAGACATATAGAACTAGGCGCTCGATTCAGTTCTGGCATTGGACACATTGCTTTGGCTGCTGAGCGAGGTAATGAGGGGAGTTTAGACGGAGGGCGGGACATCGAGGCACGAGGATCAAAGTCCTCCCAAAGTGCAAGTCTATGCGAGGCACTGAGCCGGAATGGACGATAGAAAGGCTTTTAGTTTGGACCATTTCGTCTTTTCTTAGACTTAGTATTAGCTGCTACTATAAGATATTGGTGAGACTCGTTTTCGGGGGAGATTAGCATATTCTGAAATTTTATTATTCAGGTTAAACTTCAGGTATTACTTTCAAGTTGCTTTCTTGATGGTACTACTTTCTTCTTTTCAAACCTTTATATCTTTGGTTCGTTCTTGTGCTTCTTTTGGTATGGTTTGTTTATGTACTGTTGTTACAACATACACTCAGTCATTTGAGATTCTTTCTATTCGACAATATCTGCTAGAATTATATCGTGTTATTTTCGTTAAGTATTGGAATTATTTCGCTTGTGCGCATCCCAAATCTTATCAAATTGCTCGGAGGCTGTGGTGTATTAGTTGATATCGGGTTTTAGATGCAGATTAAGTGATAATCTTTTCCTCCAGCTAAATGTACAGTTGTTCAAATTCCTCCATAAGCAGCAAAGAAGGATTTGATAGCTGATTTCCTTGTTAAAAGATAAGCCAGTTGGAATGAGTTCTTCTTTTCCCCCTTTTTCTCTTCCACCAGTGAAAATGTATATATTTGAATATTAATTTTCCTTAAAATCAACATTCTTCTTGCAAATTCATGTCACAGATATCAGAGCAATATACTAGTTTTGACTGCTTAAATATTCCAGTAATGGCGTTGAGTACTAAACTAGTCCCAAGTCTGCTGCTGCTCTGTCTATATTTGCTTGTGCCTAGCGTATTTTGATGCCTCCCTTGCTGTCGTTTTGCCAATATATTCCTTTAATGGAGGAGTAATGAGTTCATGCACTGAGAAGTAAGACTGTCAATAGTTTGGCTCGATTTGGTCTTTTAATGAAATTTATACTATACCAACCTCTTCGGTTAATCTCCAGTGTACAACAAAAAATAGACTTTTTTGAAACATCCTAATCATCTCAATTTCTCTTCGGTATCGGTTCGGTGCAGTTTATTTTCGGTAGTTTATTTTTAGAAACATAACGTGGGAATCGCAATGCTGCTAGATGCCTTAATATTTATGTAGAGAAGTCGGAATATCACCTGCATCCAATCCCCACTCTGAGTAGTAGAATCTGTGTCTTTCTTACTTCTTATATTTGGAAACTGCAGGCTGGATGAGTGTGCAACTCAATTTCATCACCAGAGGCCAAGCACTTACTCAGATTCTACTATTAACAAAGTAGAGATGCTGTTTTCATTATCAGAAGGGTCAAATTCATATTGAGACTTTATTCTTTGGATATGGAAAGCTTCTACTTTATTGATGATTCCCCCTTTATCTTGCTGATGATTTCCATTCCCATAGAAAGTTCTCGCAGGACAATAGCTTTTTCAGTCAGATAGATTGAGTAAATTATCATGTTAGAATCTCTGTCACTGAGGTGATCCCATCTTTTGCTCAAGTTGATCTAATGGTGATGTCATAATCAGACATCTGTATGTGCATGGGCCTTTGTCAAAAGCTAAGTTGCACGGACTCTTCATTTTTGGTGCCGCACCCGTCTCGACACGGGACGGGAGCGGGATACGTTCAAGATTCGGTCAGCTAACTTCGGATACTTTGACCTGAGTCCATCGACAAATTTGGGGGGAAATTGAGATTTTGATTTCTCAAAATTAAAAATAAAACAGATTTAAGACATGGGAAATGGCATACTTTCAATATTGTAGTACTTTTGTCTCATATTGCTGCTTTGAGTTTCAGAAAAACCAAGAATTCAAGAGGTCGTGTTCTGAGTTCGAACTTCTGGTAAAACAGTAGCAACGATATAGATGGAGAATTGGTCTAACGCCTTGAATGGCTTTCTTCTTCTCTTTATAGCTTTATTTTTTATAATTTTGAAATGTTTTTAGCCGAACCCCGCACTCGTATTCATACATTGATCTGAACCCCGGAATCTCAAAATTTGGATTTTGCCGAATCCGACATCCGGATCCGAGCCCGTATCGGATGCCTGCACTCGAGTCCGAGCAACTTAGGTCAAAAGTACCAAAAGCATATTATGGAAGATAATCATGTATTGGGGAATCAAGTTCTTTTCCTTTCATTTCTTTCCCTCCAAAGTGGAACCTAGAATTTGCTTCTTCTAGGTATATTCTCTACTATTGTCCACCCTGCCCACTAAAATCTTCCTTTCTCGGGCTTATATATTCCTTTTTGTGTTCAATACTAAACAATCTGAGTCCCTTCTGGCCTCCTCAATTATTATCCTTCAATATGGTAAGCAAGTATTTGTCTTAATTAATGTTTTAGTGATTTGATTGAACTTCAGAGTGAATATATCATGTTTTGTAGAGTTTCGAGAATCATGGAAAACAGACCATTTCGATTGGGCCATGGGGAGGTGAGAATGGATTGCACTGGGATGATGGAGTTTATTCCACCATAAGGCAACTTGAAATAGCTCATGGAACAGGAGTTGATTCTCTTAAGGTTGAATATGACAAAAATGGAACCTCAGTATGGTCAGAGAAGCATGGTGGCAGTGGAGGTGCTAAAACAGACAAGGTTCATGTCTTACCGCAGTTTTGTGAAAACTTTCTATTTACTGAATTGGTGTGAGCTTCATATGAAGTTGTTTTCTTGTTTTTAAAGACTATTTGGTGTTCTTCTCGTGCTATTCTTGCAGGTACGACTTAATTATCCAGATGAGTTTCTAACTTGTCTGCATGGATATCATGGTAGCTTACACGAAAGGGGGTCAGTTTTTGTGCGATCACTTACATTTCAAAGCAACAAAAGGACGTATGGACCATATGGTGTCCAGCAAGGAACATATTTCACTCTTCCAATTTCTAGTGGAAAAGTTGTTGGCTTCCATGGAAAATCTGGCTGGTATCTTGATGCTATTGGAGTATACGTAGAGCCTATTCATAAATCTTTGCCGACTAATTCTATTCTTCAGTCTCAGCAACACCATTCTATCGTTCATTCCCAACAAAGTGTTGTCCAAGGGTTTGAGAATTATGAATACTCAATGATACAAGGAAGTCTCGGTAAAAATTTTGATCTAATTGTTGCAGTTAGACGCAAAGATGAGAACAGTAACATTTTACCTCCCACCACACTTTCAAGACAAACTTCTGGTTCTGATCATGATTCCAGTTCTACTGGACCAAATAAAAAGGTATGATAAAAGCTGCTAATTTCTGTTCATCCAACCATTTTCCGGATTCTGCATATTCTAAAATGCAATATATATGTTTCAGGTGGAAACTATAACCCCTGCCCCTATTGAGAGAGTCCCGTCGAAAAGTGTCAAGGGTGTTGTCACATATTGTCCCTGGGGTGGAAGTGGGGGGAGTGTTTTTGATGATGGAATCTATGATGGTGTTAGGCAAATTTACTTGTCACGCAATGTGGGAATCGTTTCGATAAGAGCTTGCTATGACAAAAATAGAGAACCAGTTTGGGGAAGCAAAAATGGTGGTACTGGTGGATTTAAAACTGAGAAGGTAATGTTGTGAGTCCTGTTATTACAGAATTAAATTAAGGCTTTTCCTTATTTCTAATTCATACCTATCCGTCGGTTTTGCAGATAATATTTGATTATCCATCAGAGATTTTGACGCACATCACAGGCTACTATGGACCAGCCATGATTATGGGTCCTAACATTATTCAATCACTAACTTTTCATACCACAAAAGGCAAACATGGACCTTATGGAGAAGAACAAGGACAACAATTTTCAACCAAATTGAAAGAAGGGATTATTGTTGGCTTTCATGGGAGGAAAGGATTGTTTCTTGATGCACTTGGTGTTCATGTGTTGGAAGGAAAAGTTGTTTCATGTTTACCCCCTTCCCCGGCCCCCAACTCCATCAAACCAAGTGCAGCGTCTGTCCCGTTTTTACCTGCGCCAGCTCCCCCCCAATCAATCAAACCAGATGCAGTAACTCTCCCATCTTTACCTGCACCGGCTCCCCCCAAATCCGTCAAACCAAAACCAGCATTTGTCACTGAGGTTGATGATAGACCACAGTGGTCTTTTAAACTGGGAAAGAAAGGACTCACTGAGGAGGTATGAAATTATGTCCCCTGATATTTGCTAACACAATTAACTACTACTCCATCTGTTTTATTTAATATGATGATGGTTGGATATAGATTTTGAAAAAGAAAGATTTTGAGTTTGATACATAATAATGTACATAACATACCAACAGTACCCTTAGGATCTTGTGGTCTTCAACATATCGTGTCATTCCTGTAGAGTATATTATTTAAGTGTAGAATTGAGATGTTAAATTAAAGAGTTTCTAACTTTAGAAATGTCTCAATTTTTTTGGAACAGACTAAAAAGGAAAAGAGACAGATAAAATGGAACGGAGTGAGTAACACACATGCCTGGACAATGCTGCCCCCTCCCCTTTGCACATAGAAAAGGGAAAATGAAAAAACTAATACTAAAGTGACTGTTTTTAATGTTTTTGGTTGAATATCAGGGAGTGCAAAGGATAGTGAAAGATCCAGCACCATATGGACCTGGTCCATGGGGTGGAGAAGGTGGGAAGCCATGGGATGATGGAGTATTCACTGGGATCAAACAGATAATACTAACACAATCATCAGAAGGCATTTGCTGTATCGAAATTGAGTACGATCGAAATGGACAATCTGTTTGGTCAGTAAAACATGGCGCAAATGCTGGGAAATGCACAAATAGGGTACACAATCACTTACTTGTCAGTATAAAAAAGGGTAGTCCGGTGCACTAAGCTCCCGCTATGTGTGGGGTCCGAGAAAGGGTCGGACCACTAGGGTCTATTGTACGCAGCCTTACCTTGCATTTCTGCAAGAGGTTGTTTCCACGGCTCAAACCTGTAACCTCCTGTTCACATGGCAGTAACTTTACCAGTTACGCCAAGGACTTACTTGTCAGTATGAATGACTTAATTCACTAGTTGGAATAAGAATTGGCTAATATTTTGCAGGTAAAGTTAGAGTATCCTCATGAAGTACTAACTTGCATCACTGGATTCTATGGTCCTATAAGCAAAGATATGGGGTTGAAAGTGATAAAATCACTGACTTTTCACACTACTAGAAGGAAGTTTGGTCCCTTTGGGGAGGAACTAGGAACATATTTCACATCAGCAACAACAGAAGGTAAAGTGGTAGGATTTCATGGGAGGAATGGAATGTATTTGGATGCAATTGGAGTGCATATGCAACACTGGTTAGGCAATCAGAAAACCTCCAAGCATTCTCTTATGAAGATGTTCCATTGATAGTTTTTCTCTTTTGAATAAAGAAAAGTCCAAAATAGAACAGAACCGATAAGTTCTGTGTGGAAAACATATTCCTATATTGTTTTGGCTTTTGTGCGTGTGAGAGAGCATAATGAAGTTCTATTGTAATAATATTCGCATTATTTATATTTCTGGTGCCTTCATCAGCTTGCTCTATCATATAGTTTTGGATGTTGAAGAAAGAACTTTTACATGATTTGAACTTTGAACATGAAGAGGAAGTAAATGGCTCAGGATCGAAGTTGTAGTTCAGTGGTTGCAAATTCATCTTGAACCCTTTAGGGGACAGTTCTATTTCAATTATAAGTTTACCTTCCTTTCTCTACTATTCATGGTCCATATTCATTCAAAAAGTGACAGTAAGTCAGTAACAAATAGAATATGAAAGGGTGTGGAGCGTAAACTCATAAGTCATATATGAGGAAACTTAACCTGGGGACTAGAGATCATATAACCAGGTTCTAACAAATCATATGATAGTTTGGTTTGAATTAAAGGTGTTAATCGGGTCGGGCTGACCCGTTTTCAACCCGCTTCGGCCCGGGTCAGCCCGTTACTGTAGCGTTTAGGTGCGGGCTGGAACGGGTTGGGCGGGGGGCGGGTTTTAGACGAACACATTTTGGATACCGGCGCACCGTAACCCGCTAACCTGTTAACGGGTTGTTAACGGGCTGCAGCCCGGCTCAGCCCGGTTACCGTTACAATTTTTTTTTAAATTATTTGGACCGTTGCTAACGGTCAAATTCAGAAATGATTGTTGGGGAACGGCCAGATTTTGCACAAATGGCCATTTCGGCCTCCCCCATTAAAAATATAGCCCCACACCCCTAATAATTGAAAAATTACATTCTTAACCTTTTAAAACCTATAAATAGCCCACATTCTTCTTTATTTTTTCTCACAATTCACTCTCTTACTACTCTAATTCTCTCTCAATTCTCTCTTGATATTATTGTTCTTAAATTCTCAAATCTCAATTACTTATTATTTCAAGTTTCATCTATTATTTAGTTTAGCCATTACAAAATTATTATTATTACCAAATATCAAGTATTCAAGTGAAGTGTGGTATCAACTATCAAGTACTATCAAGTATCAACTATCAGGTTTCGGACTTTCGGTCTATCAATTGAAGTTTGATTTTTGATATCAAAATTAGTGCGGCATCCGGAATCCCGGTACACTTGTTCCATCTCTTTCTCTTATTTGGTGTACACTTATTTTATTATTTAGAATTATTAATTTAATTTACATAATGGATTTACTTAGAGCAGCAAAAAAAGCTTCCAGAAGATCAAGAGGTGGTATTGGTTCTTCTAGTAGCTTTACACATATTTCTGAAAGTTCACCTGAAAATTTAAATGTAGATTATGAGCGGATGCAAGAAAATTATGGTATAGATGATGATTTAGATGATATTTTAGATTACATTCAATCACCCGATAATCTTGAAATACCACCACCTACACCTGGTAATGCTAGTCAAACTCAAAATATTAGGGGCGGAACAAGTAAGCATCTCCTCCCTAATAAGAAGAATCGAAGATTAAGAAGTAAGTGTTGGAATTTTTTTGACAGACTAGAAGATCAAAAAAATTATGTAAAACGTAAAATTTTTAATGAACTTTATAAACATGAGCCCGAAAATGGAGGGGAACGGATCAACATCGTAGGCATACGGAAGAGATCCTCCCTCTTGATTGGGGAGTAGATGAACAATCTGGGCAACAAAAACTTAACCCGAGTACTGGGGGGTTAATGGGTAAATACGATATTAAGAAAGATCGGGAAGAATTAGCTAAAATGATTATTTTAGGTTGTTTACCTTTTAGTTTGCTTCTTCACCGTATCTTGTTACTTATATTAAAAGAATTTATAACCCTTTGTTTAAAGGTATTCCTAGAAGTACTTGTAGAGCTGATATCTTTAGGCTTTTTGGACAATATCAGACATATNAAAGAATTTATAACCCTATGTTTAAAGGTATTCCTAGAAGTACTTGTAGAGCTGATATCTTTAGGCTTTTTGGACAATATCAGACATATATACGTTATTTGTTCGCAAGTCTTTCTTGTAGAGTTTCTCTTACTTCTGATATTGGTCGTGCTGTAAATGGAAATGATTATTTGACTGTTACATGTCATTGGATAGATGATAATTTTTGTATGCAAAAACGTATTATTGCTTTTAAATATGATGAAGATCAAAGTCATACTGGTGCATTTATAAGTAATACTATCCATGAAGTTGCTATATTTTATAATCTTGCAGAAAAACTTTTGTGTATGTTATTTGATAATGCTTCTAACAACAATGCTGCTATTACAATATTAAAATTGCATCTACACCCACCACTTCCTGAAATATTTCATGTTAGATGTGCATGTCATATTTATAACTTGATTGTGAAGAGTGGCCTTGAATTATTTAGAGATGAAATCGCTTTAGTTAGGAGAGCTGTTGGTGTAATTCAAGAAAATAATAGAAGTGCTAGATTAAATGCATTTAAGGAAAAATGTGTACACTATGGACTAAAACCAAGACTCATGCCTGAAGAAATAGTTACTAGGTGGAATTATACTTATTTATTCTTAAGATGTTGTTATAAATATCGAATGCCTATAACTGAAGTTGTTAATTCTCATTGTATCGATCCTAGCCGTTTGTTAACATCTAGAACTTGGGATGTCATTCGAGATGTTGTACAATTTTTACAAAAATTTATGTGGTTACACTTGAGTTTTCTAGAGCTTATTATCCTACTATTGCAAATGGTTTAGTTCATATTACTGAAATTTCTCTTTTACTACATAATTTGAAGAAGAAAGAAGGATATACTTCTGTTGTTGAATCTATGCTAGATAAGTTTAAAAACTATTTCTACCCAATTCCCCATATTTACCTAATTGGCGCTATTTTCAACCCTACTATCAAAATGACAAAGTGTCGCCAATTAATCAGAGCTTTATATACTTATATGGATATTGGACCAACTGAAACTCCTAATATTGACACTTGTATTCCTGATCTACACAAACGTTTACAAACTTTATATAATTATTATGCTAATATTGTCGATGCTTCTTCGGTTGTAGATGCAAATATTCCTTCAAGTAATACTTCAACATCTGGAACAACTTTGGATGATGATGATGACGTTCAAGATTATTTGATTTTGTCTACACTAGGAGAGCATCAACAAATCAGTAGCAGGAATATTGATGAACTCCAATTCTACTTGCAAAAGTCACTATATCCCCTCACAAAGGATTTTCTACCGCTGGGTTGGTGGAAGAGCAACTCAAATTAATTTCTTGTTCTTTCGTCCGGCTCGAGACGTGTTAAATGTGCCGATTTCAACAGTCGCATTAGAGAGCGCATTTAGCCAAGCAAGGCAGCAACTAGGAGATACTCGTCATTCATTAGGCAACAACGCTTTGGAAATTCTAGTGTGCTTTAGAGATTGGATAAGATCAGAACGACGAAATCAAGGGCGTGCCGAGGTAGACGAAGAGGAAGACCAAGAAATTGGAGATATAATGATTTATGGTTCCGATTCAACCAATGCCGGAAATCAAGAACCTCATGTTGACATGGATACAAAAATGATGCAAAAAATGTGATGTACTATTTCTTATTTTTTATAATTGTTGTAAATTTTTAATTTTCAAGTTCAAAAATAAAAAAATAAAAAAAGAACTTGCAAATTAATTTGAAGTATTAAAAATATAAAATAAAAGCCTTCGGAGTTTGTTCCTTACATATTGTCTATTGGTCTTATTAAATAATTTTTTGTAGCCATTACTTTCTAATTTCAATTTTATAATTTTAAAATTCAAATTTCAAATTTAAAACTTCAAAGTTTAATTCTAAGCCTTAAAAATTTGCAAACACTTAAGTATCAATAATATTGAATAAGAAAAAAAAAATTAAAAATTACACTAGCCCAGCCCACCTGAACCCATTAAGCCCGAAATAACCCAAAAATTCTCAACCCTCTACCAGCCCATTATCCCAGCCCGCTAACCAACCCGGTCCGATAACGGACAGGCTGATTTTTTTTGTTCAACCCGTCCCAGCCCGCCTGATAAACATGTATAGTTTGAATGCACTATTATATTTGTTATTGTTCCATTCCTATGGTGTGAGTGCATTTATCCTGTAACGATTTGTGAGATTTAGTTTTTTCTTAACTCTTAATGAAAAATGTGTACGTATAAGTGAGGTGTTAGAGTTACAGGAGTATCCTTGATAGATTTCATATATATAAGTGTGAAAGTAGGTCGTTTCCTATGAGAATTGGGCTTATTCTCAAAAACACTCATGAAAATCGGGATAGCATAAGTTCGTAATGTGTTGGCTAATAAAGCTCATATCAACACCTTGATTATTATGCGTAAGCAGTGATATTTTATTTCCCTTAGGCAATCATAGTTCAAGTCTGATCCACTACTGACTCTGAAGTAGATATCGTTATTTTACTAATTGGAGGTTCAACGCAGAGCACACCTTCATTATGCATAATAGTCTCCCTTCAACTACTAAACTCTTTTATTTTAATATTAAAATGAGTGGGAGAATGTTGGTGTTAGTGAATTTTAACATTGAAATTATAATATTAAAGTGCATCATTTCTTATGAGGTAGTGACCGGTCTATTACCGCAATTTTTTGGGGAAAAATTTCACGTAAGAACAACTGGATTACCTATTTTTAAAATTTTATAGCTCATATTTCAATTTACAACCAATTAGCCAAAAAATAATAGGTTAAGATTCAACATCTGACTCCAATAGGTTCTCGAAATTACTATTTAATTTTTTAAAAAGATTGCTCAAGCTTTTAAGTAAATTTTCGAATTAGTAGTCGTGACTCAAATATTAGTTCAACAAAACCAAATTCATTTGGGTGATGAAAATTAAATTTTTAACAAGTTTAAATATGTGGGTTTAGATTCCGAATTTGATTTTTATGAGAAATTTGGAGTGGGTGTTATTTAGACTTGTTAGAAATAGTATAAGGAAGTTGTATATAAAATTTGAAGTCAATTAATAGAGATTTGGACTGGTTTTGAACAAGAATTGCAACTGAAAATCGTGGAAGAAGTTCGTCTACAGTCGCTTGTATAAAGGTGTATAATAGTGTATAAGTTCGTCA